ATAGATGAATTAAAATCTATATAGATGAATTAAAATCTGCGTATTAAAATCTATGCATAATGAAAAAAAATCAAACAAAAAAAGAATCAACAACGCAAAAACGCAACAGAAGGATACATATACATATTTAAACGAGACCGACAAGACCAGGAAAAACGCTGTAGCAGAGAAACGTTGGCTAGAGAAAAATAAAAACTTGTGCGCACGAACTGGTAAAAACAGCAGTAGTATTAATACATTCCTTATAGAAATTTAATACTGAAAGGTAATGATTAATTATTTTGAATATTAAAAACATCATTGTTCAATGGTTTTAATATTCAAAATAGAAAATTTCCAGTATTAAATTAACTAATAGAATAGAATATTTATTCAATTTAGCTTGACAAAAGTTAAGAAGGGAACTTGATATATAATTTTCTTTAAATCATTCTCATTCAAATCTCCCACATTCATACATGCATACTATCTTGCTTATACCATTTATATAATTTATATAAAATATATACATACATAGCTTTACTTGTGTCTAATAATCTACTAATTGCGTCTTCCGTTACTTATTTTCTATATAATAATTTACTTCTTTTTCCTTTCAGCCTTTTCCATTCTTTTATTCTATTTTCTTTTCTTCTCTTTTTCCATAGTTCCTTTAAAATCTTGTCCTTTACCTCATCTAATTTTTTATCCTATAATCTATCCGCGACTGTTTTTTTATCCCCTCCTAATTCTACAAACTACTCCTTAGTTTTATTACAATCTTCACATTACTATAGTCACATAATGCTCAAACCTCGCTCTCTCTGCAAAATAAATATCCCCATAGATCTTTTTCTAACCAATATTTATTTCTTTCCTCCAGATTAGAACATCTTAATTTAACGAAAATTCTAATTTCATCTTCTGTCTCTTTATATTTCTTATTATACTTTGCCCCTAGAATTTTATTACCTCTATTTCCCTTTCTCTATTAATTAATTTTTCTTCCATCCCTATTTCTCCCTTTTATTATCTACTTCTTCTAATTTTTTGTGTCCCATCTATTCCTATTATAATAATCTTTTATTCCCTCCCATATTCATTCTTTAACTCATATACATAATTCTTCCCAATCAGACTTAAATTGACTAGTATTAAATAGAATTTTCAAGATAAGATAAAAGATAGCAAATAGATAAATATGCCAAACTATTATTTTATAAAATTTAATTAAAATTTGCTAATTTAATGTCTTTGATCGACAATTGAGAAATTTGATTTAATTAGATATTTAACTCGATAAAACACGATGTGTGTCAAACATTCATTGGATTATTTATGTATTCTAATATTTAATTAGAATAATGTTTAAATAATGGAAATATTTCAAGAAATATTTAGCTTATAATAAAAAAATTAATACGACAATTAATTATCGTGATTTGTGTACGCTCAAGATCATAATTACGTATGCATCAGAAAATATTATATAACAACGATTTATTCCATTAATTCTCAGACTTAACTAAGATTGATTAAATTAATTCTGTTTTTCTATTAGTTTAGATATATATATCATTGATTTATATAATAATAACTTTTAATTAATTTAAATTGAAAAAATATTTATAAATTTCTAATATTCATTGTATTTTTCTTAATGTTTATAATTTTGAAATCTTAAAATAATCGAAATAATCGTTTTAATTCGCATGATCAAATTTAATTTGCACTCTATAAACTTTTGGTATTATTTGCATACATATAACACGTTTTTATATAAGTTATAAAAGAGATAGAGATTGCATAAAAGTTGTGAAAATAATAGTATAATAATTCTTGTCCTTTCGTTGGAAATGGGAGAGTGCTGTTTGCCTACAAATTGTTTGTCCACATCGTTTGTCCACATTCCATTTGCCGACAATTCCGTTTACGCACAAAAATTATTGCTCACAGATTGATTACCTACAAGTTCTTTTAAAAAATTTTTTAAATTAGGAATATAGGAAAATTAAAATGGATACAGAAAATAGATAGTTAATTATAATGATAAATAAATTTCGGGCCAATTTAAATGAATTTAGCTATAGACAGTTATGTAAAGAATGTTAGTTACCTGTGTGGAGCTGAATGCCAAAATATAAACTATATAGCGTTGTTATATTTACGAGAAAGCAACAATCTGAGATGTAAGATAGATAATGAGAATATTGATGTTTCTCAATGTATATGCAAATATATAAGATAAAAACATCTTAGCTTTAAAATCAATCCACTTCTAATAATGGTAAATTAATGCTCGACTATCTCGCCGCAGCTATAGCGCTTTTATAACGTTATAAACGAGAAATTATGTGCAGTAAGTATCTTGCGACGTATAACCTTATAATTTAGTTTTTTTCCTCTGAAAAACATAATAATTTCGTAATTCTGAGACTTATAAAATGTACAATAAGTTGAGATATCTATCCGATTCGTCACGTAACAAAAGTGCAAAATAATTTCTGAAATGATGAGTCATTTTTCAGCCAACTCAGTTGTTCGCTCACGGCGGCTTATTGCGTTTACTTCACAGTATTACATTTACAACAGTATTACATAAAATAATAATAAATAATATGCGCGTAATGCGCATCTTATAGTATATTTATAATACATTTCTAACATAATGTCATAACAAACTTAGAAAGTACTGACACTTACTAGTTACTACATAAAAGTACATGATATGCTGGTAACATAAATAGTATTAATGACATTGTGAATTGCTTTGCATTCGAAATTTTCACAGATATATCACGTCATTATAGAAATTTTCACAGATATATCACGTCATTATAGAAATCAATAACGCGAAAATAATAGAAATCTTCCTTGCGACATGACGAACATTTCTTATCTTCTTGCTCACAATCATTAGACATACACAAATGCCCGTATGACCATACAAATATATGAATGGCAATTGTATTCAGGCATATACAACATGCACCATGTATGAGATCGCTTGATAGTGAATCTGACGGGATAAAAAGATAGATCATTTGGCTCGTTTAAATCAAGAGCACCGTAATAATCCTCTGCTGACATTTAAAAAATACGTTCATCTGCAAGTATAAAAAAATATTTGATTATTAATTTATAATAAATAATAATTTATAATAAATAATAGATATCAATAAGGCACGAGTGAAATATGCTCTGTATTAATTTATGTCGATAATAAAATGTATGATGACACGAAATAAATATTTTACTTTGATATATTTTGCAAAAGAAAGTTTGATATTTCGCTTCTGACTTCACGATTCATATGCTGTAAAATAGAAATGAGTGAGTGTGTGATAAGAATGTATGTAATAGCATTTTCCAGGCAATCAATCTGTAGACAGTAGCTTTTGTGCGCGGGATTGTCGACAAATGAGATGTGGACAAATGATACCAATTAACGATTTGTGTGTAATAGTCCCTAGATCGTATGCATTTCTTTGTTTTTAAATTTTTTATTTATGTGCAATTATGCTTGTAGACAATCGATCTATAGAAAATAATATTATGTATACAATACTGCTTGCGCGCAAAAATGTCTTGTATATAAACGTGCATTTATTTTAAAATTTTTATTTGTGTAAAAGAGCTCATAGGCAATCGACCTGTGAGCAATAATTTTTGTGCGCAAACGGAATTGTTGGCAAATGAGATGTAGACAAACGGGGGGCTCTCTCCTTGGAAATATAGTATATTAAAAAATATTATTATCATAAATTAAAAAGAATTTTCAAAAATTGTTTTTAAAATCTGATTATTTTAGCTGATTATTTAGCTACGTGATTATAATAATATAATCTAATAAATTAATATTGCTATGATTACTACACTTCATTTGCAGATGATATTAGTATTCTACAATATTTGAAGATTTGTAAGTTTGATATCGAGGAAACTAAAATCAGAATTTAAACTATCACAAACTGCGGTCTGATATATCAGAATGGTATGCAAATAAGGATCCATTTCAACCGGAATTACAGGCAATACTCGATTTGGGATAACGACACGTATCTCAAAACATAAGGCAATATTTATTGAAGTATAAAAATTTGTGAATTTGTTATAAGATAGAAGATTTTATAAAATTTCTATTTTCATTTTTATTAATTATATTTTATTATTTATGAATAAAATTTAAGTTAAGAGTTTATGAATATTAAAAACAAAGTAAAAAGATGTTTTA